GAGGAGGAGGAGGAGGAGGGAGGACAAGACAATGGACGAGGAGGAGGAGGAGTAGGAGGAGGAGGAGGCGAAGGAGGAGGCGGAAGAGGCGGAGGCGGAGGAGGCGGAGGAGGCCCCTGGCCCTTCGTCCAGCCCGGAGCCTGGCCCACCCTGGGCGCGCAGGGGGGGCCGCTCTCCGCGCCGCCCGCCGCGCCACCCTCGCCGCGGGAGCTCGGCGGCGCCGCGTCCTCGCAGGGGGCCGCGGGCGGTCCGTCGGTCGGTCGACACGTCGGCCCACCGTCGGCCACCGCCGCCGCCGTCGATCGCTGGCCATCTTCGGAGGCGACGATGGGGGCGATGCACATGTATCCAGGGGATGCATGTACATCGCGGGAACTCTGGGACCCATCCCACCTCCATCTGGGGGGGGGGGGAGGGTCCTGTGAACCCTCGGCCCAGGACCAGTTACGCCGCACCCCGCATATGCGGGCAAGAATAAAGGGGCGGGCGCGGGGTGGGTCGCGGGTTAGGTCGTGGGCGTGGTGGGTCGCCTGGAGCAATACATCATGTACCCAGGCGGCGGATAGCCTAGTGAGCAATACATGTATCCAGGGGCGCCGATGGTCCATGTCTTCGGCGACGTTCCCTGGCGAACACGTGTAATGCCCGCCACTGGGCTATTCGCCCCTGTCGTCGCCTGCGGCATCGGTCTTCGCTCCGAGATCTGCGACGATGTGTTCTTTCAACAGGCGATCGTTCTTACATTTGTCGTCCGTATTTCGACGCTGCAGATGCGCTGTGAGGCTTTGGGCGAGGTCCCAGCGCATCTCGCGACATTGAGGGACAGCGAGGACGGGTTTGATAGTACCTCTCACTGATGACAGCGACACGCGCGCATGATAGGCCTCTCCCTAATGAACAATTTGGCGAAATTTGCATTATGCGGGGCTTTAATTTGGGATGTGATCCATGTGAGGGATGCGCCAGATTGCAGCGGGGACGCCATAAGGACAGGCACGCTGGGGCCTTGTTTGAAGCCCCCTGCGGGGCACGATCCACGCAAGGACTATGCCGGAAGATGGCGGGAACGGCGCAAGGCCCCCTACCCTGGGGCCGTAGTTTGGCCACGGTCCGTGCGAGGGGTGTGCCAGAGCGCGCAAACTGGGGCCGTTGTTGGAGCGTAGCCACTGGGGCAGTGGTCGGGGCTCCCTATGGGGCACGATCTTTCTGAGGGGTGTACAATGGAGGCCAGTCCACAAGAAACCTTCCACAAGAAACCCAACCCTGAGACCCCAGGACGTGCATTGGTTTTTGGTGTGGGACGCAACTCTTTCCACAGCAAAACCCGCAAAACCCAAGAAACCCAGGGCACCCTGGAGGCAAGCAGGGTGGTTCTTGGCATGGGCTTCCACTGTACCCACTTGAAACGGGAAAGCAATGAAGACGCCCCCGCGGGGGCCGCAGATGGGGCTCCCTATGGGGGCACAGTCCGTGCGATAGGTGTGCCGAGCTGCAACATGAACGCCGCAAGAGCGCCCGCACTGAGGGCGGCGGCCGTAGTTGGGGCACCACCTGTGTCGAGGGCGTGCCGACATGGGGCGGGGCGGCCATTCTGAGGGGAACGAACAATGACACAAACATGAAAACTCGGAGGTTCGCGCGGATTCCTCAGAGCGGCACTGGACCCCCCTCCCTGGAACGCGGAGCGCGACAGGGGCGGCGCCGGAGGCGCCGCCAGGGGGGTCCAGCGCGGATCCGAGGAGAAGTCCGGCGGGCCTCCGAATCATTCTGTTGATGTCATTGTTCGCTCCCCTAGCCGATCTTTCGAGCGCCTGCTTCGAGCAGGTGGGGTCCCTCCCCCATCGGCCGCACTGCTGCAAACAATCGAGAAGTCCGCGCGGACCTCCGAGTTTTACGTTTATGTAATGTTTCGTTCCCCAGCCATGCTGGCGTGGCCACTGGGCCTGTGGCTGAGGCCTCCTGTGAGGCACGATCCGCGCGAGGGGACGCCTCCCTCACCGGGGCCGTGAACACTCCTAAATCAGGCGTCTGCGCATGGACGGGTGCATGTGTGTGTGTGTGTGTGTGTGTTCGTGTGCGTGTGAATCTGCACATGCACGGTTGTGCCATTCTGCTCCTCAGCAAGATCTGGAAGACGAAAGACTCGGGTAGGGGGACTCGGGTTGGCCTGATGGGGTCATCATAAAAATGACGAGACTCAATCTCAAAATTGACGCGGGCTCCCGCAGCAAACATCCCGAGAAAACTGGACCGTCAAAATACAGGACGCGCTCGTCAACAAAAAAATGTCGGCAAACACAAGTTCCGGATTACTCGAGTCTTACGTTTCCCCGAACATGCACGGTTATACCATTCTGCTCCTCAACCAGAGAGGCTCGTTGCGGTCGAAGTTTGACAGATCAGGTGGCCAGAAGGCCAGGAGCCCCGACCTCGGGCATGGCAGAGCTCCATGCCATTCGAATCGGTAAAGCCGCGCGGTTCGCACGGCCGACACATGCGGCGCGAAGCGAGCCGGAGGGCGGAATGCGAGCAGAGGCCGACGGCGCAGCAGCCAACGGGGAAGGCAGCCGACAGCGGCGGCGCAGCAGGCAGCGCCGCAGGCAGCGGCAGCGGCAGCAGCGGGGGGGGGCGACGGAAACGTGCCAGAGGCGTGCGCGCGGCGCTGCGGGGTGGTGCGAGGACCCGGCAACCACAGAGAGCTGCGGCGTGTTTTCGTTCGACTCTTGCCCGCCCCCCCTCCCCTCCCCTCCCTCCTTCCCCCCCCCCTCCTCTCCTTCCTCCCGCTCTCTGCGTCCCCCCTGCCATGGCAAGCGCGCGTGCCGGCATATTTGCCCGCTCTCTCGCGAGCGTACCAATGGACACATCTCGTTTTTGCAAGTGCCTATGCGTCCTCTCGGGTGCACGGCTATGTGTGTGTTGTCTGGCCCAAAGCGGCCCACAGCCCGCTCCTGAACTCCATCCTGGGCACAAAATCGACCTGGATTCTCAATGCGACTCTGACCGTGACGACGGGAAGGTTCTCCACGGAGCCGTGACGACGAAAGGGTTCTGTGGCATACTACTCTGCACTATGCTGAGATTTTTGCTGTGTTACGCCATGTAGGGCGGTCCGTCCATTTTGCCGAAGACTTCCTCAAAGCGCTGGTCACCGTCGTGGTCGTCATCATTGGGCCGTATGGGGTTGTTTAGGGCCTCCTGGTGCTTCCTTGGATCCCCTGTGGCCTCCTGGGATCTCCTGTGGCCTCCTGGGATCGCCTTGGGCTTGCTGGCGCATCCTGAAACATCATACCAAAACCTCCTGGACATCCTGGGGCGTCCTAAAACACCCTGGACCCTCCTGGGACCTCCCGGCTCGTGCCACATGCACGTTTACGAGGGTGCGCCGCTGGATCTCCCCAAGGGGGGGGGGGGGTAGGACCGCATGTGGGCCCAATCCCAACCCACTGGGCCCAATCCCAACCAACTGGGACCAATCCCAACCAGTGCGAAAAGCAAACTGGGCCCAATCCCAACCACCTTGGGATAGCCCCACAATAGGATGTTAATTGTAGAGAAGCCCAAGACGACTGCGAAGACCAAGTGACACCCCTTATGTCAACGCAGAGGATCTGGGAGCCAACATGCGCGCTCGAGTTGGAATTGGTCTCAGTTTTTGGTCTGCGCACGAGCACTACGTTAAGATGAGCGAGAGGGCACCGAAGCGTAAGCAACAACGCACCGAATTGC